CACCAGGGGCCACAGGGTCAGATTTTCGGTTTTTACTTGGAACAATGGTCAGATTTGTTAACACTTTCATTTTTTATTTGGATAATGCATGCAAGCGTAGTCACAAGAGTGGCTAGAATAGATTCTGCTACCTTCTCCCCTTGTTGGGTAAAAATGTCAAGCCTCCACATACATGCATCTCTCCTCCACCCTCCCGTGAAATGTCGATTTTCGAGATTAAAAAATATATTCTGCAACCCTGTCTCCTCGTTGGCTACAAATTTCAACCCTCCGCATACATGCCTTCCCCTTCACCCGCTCGTAAAATCACGCGTTCTCGGTAGCATCGAGGAGGACTTCTCAGGACCGAAAAGAACTGAGGATTCGAAAGGTCTCTGAAAAAGTACGTCGCAGAACTGATTAGGACTTACCAGGTCCATCTAGGCCTGGAGAGATCTTGAAAGACCTGTGTACGTCCAATCAGAACCAAATCCTCGACTCGGGTTCTTAATAAGTTCTAGAATCTGGTCAGCTTCATGAAAAGGCAACAATTTAATCCGTGCACCTGAATCAGTTTTGTTTTTCATCGTGATACACCTGATCAGGTTCTTCAATGAGTCTGATTAGGCTCTTTTTCACCATTCTTAGAATCTGAACAGGTTCGAGCTAGCACGCAACGACCAATTGTGTGGATTATAGCTGAACCAGGCCCGTTTACCCAGACGCACTTGATCAGACCTAAATAAAGTTCAGGTCCGACCTGATCAAGTTGTCGCACACGATAACTGATGATCCCCAACAAAATCTAAATTCTGATCAGGCTCGCACAGGCACACGTGAACCAAGCGTGTGTCATATACCTAAATCGTGATCATCTTCATCGCGTTACACCCGATCAGGCACCAAAACTCCGTACACTCGACCTGATTAGTTTCATCTGTACTCAATTACCACTCTAATTACCCCTCCCCCACACATATTCTTCACGCCACGCAATTTTCCCACTCAGCTAATACTATTGACGCACAATCTAAATTATCACATCCCAAACCTCTCATTCCCACTCACAACTTCAGAACCAAATAATAAACTTCTCATGTTTCCCCTTTTCCTCGTGATAATGAAACGCACCGCAGACTAAACAAGAGGTGAGACTCTAAAGTAGCGTCTCGGGTCTAAGTCAGGCAGGCCACCAGCATCTGCGCGGCGGAGGGGGGGGGGCGAAGGGGTAAATGAAGGGGGTTAGATAGAGGCTTGTAAACCCTTAGGATCCGGGTGGAATTAATGTTCGTCCAAAAGCCGCGGGTGGAAACTCGATTCTGCAAATTTACGGAGATCTTGTCGCAGTAGTGGAGGAGAACACAGGAAGTAAGATGAAGACAAGAGGCGGTCGGGGGGGGGAGCAGGGGGTTAGGGGATGAATGGAGTGGGATGCTTTAAACTTTTGGTTTTGCCAAGGAGCTACGGAAGGAAATCTAAATTCGTGGTATACTCTTACTTCTTACTCTTGCCATACCCCGTATCATACAGTTGCAGTTACGAATGTTTCAGTGGATGAGGGGGGAAGTTATACGGTTAAATTGTATGTATGGGATATTACTATCTAACAAGATGGTGGTTTTTCGTGGAAGCGGGGAGAAATGGATATTATATGGCGTTGAAATCCAGTATTTGCCGGATAAGCCAATATCGAGTGCGGTCCTTGATAGTAGATAGTTTGAAACAACTTGGGAGGGGGCAGAAGTGGGTGGAGGGGGTGGGGGGAGGGTGGAACGGATGGGGGAGGGCAGTTATAGCTGGGGAAATGGTAGGTGCGTTAATGTGCAATAAAGTGAGGGGCGGGGGAGGGAGTAGATGAAAACGTTGAATTGGTGGGAAAACTGTTTTGGTATGCACAGGTGCTTCGGATATGGATTTGCACGGTGGGCTTTGCAGCAATGTAACCAATGTCTATTGGTGGTTTACTCCTGGTCAAATAGCCGGAATAGCATTCCCCCCCGTGGGAACGATTGAATTCTGAGTTGGGATGGGACAAGTGCTGAGGCACTGCTAGAACTTGTTGGATATATTTTTTTGTGGTTGACGTGGGCCTTGAAACAGCTTTCGGAAACTGGGGATGCGATTACTTGGGACATTTGGAGGTCGTTGAGGAATGATTGACTCCAATCCTGAAGGATTTTTAGAAGCTGATGTGGTTCACAAGCTGACCTGATTAGGTTCCTCTCGGTCGAGAGAAAACAACTATGACATTTTAACGACATTCAGACTCTCGCCCCCTGGGTAGCCTGCGATGCACTTCATTATCGCGAGTGGAAGGGAAAACACGAGAAGTTCATTATTTATCTTCCGAATCTCAAGTGAAAATGTGAGGCTTAGACATAACAATTTTGGTGATACGTAAACAGCATTACCTCGGGTTTTGGAGAAATGTAATCAATGTCCAGTGGTAGTTTGCTCCTGGCCAAACAGCCGGAATAGCATTCCCCCCATGGGAACGATTGAATTCTGAGTTGGGATGGGACAAGTGCTGAGGCACTGCTGGAACTTGTTGGATATAGTTTTTTGTGGTTGACGTGGGCCTTGAAACAGCTTTCGGAAATTGGGGATGCGGTTATTTAGGATGTTTGGAGGTGATTGGGGAATGATTAAGTCCAATCCTGAAGGATTTTTAGAAGCTGATGTGGTTCACAAGCTGAGCTGATTAGGTTCCTCTCGGGTGAAGAGAAAACAATAACTATGACATTCTAATGACATTCAGACTCTCGCCTCCTGTTTAACCTGCGGTACACTTTATTCTCGCTAGTGGAAGGGGAAACACGAGAAGTTTATTATTTATTTTCCGAATCTCAAGTGAAAATGAGAGGTTTAGACATAATAATTTTGGTCGTACGTAAACAGCATTACCTCAGTGTGAAAATTGCATGAACTTTTGACCCCACTGGGTTGACTCTGGAGAATTGGAGGAAGCTTGTGGCCCCCTTCTAAGTTTCGTGTGTACAGTATGTTTGACCAGGTTTTCGCCTTGAGCACGCTCTGGTAATAATAAAGAAATTGGGGTTGGAGTAAAGAAGAGAGAATCTAGGATGGAGAAAGAAGAAGTGCTGGATTCCTAGTCACGCCTGTACGACCCAGTGAGCGCAATACCCTATATTTTTTCAGTCACTTGGTATATAATCTCA